CAAATTGGGGAGAACTATTCCTCAAGACTTGGTACACCTGAGAGCACATGCCCTACAAACCTGCATTTTGAGTAACTGCCCTGTGCACACTGAACGGTACTCAGCTTATTTGCTAAAAGGTTGTGAAATTGGCTACAGATCTCCAGGGGAATTTTGTACAAATTTGGTCTGGAGGTACTTCACATGTACGCACTGAGAAATGTGTTTGTTCACTGCAGTTTTTGCAGGAAACCTAAATATGTTGCATCATTGCCACTTACCTAGATGTGCATCTGGATTAGAACAAGCTCAAGATATAATTTGCAAATGCAAAATTTGTCAAGGATTTAGTGTTTGAAGTTCCTCACTGACAGCTTTCTGAGCCAGTTATTAATATGATTTGACAAACCACCCTGTCATTACCTTGAGACTTCAGGTCACAAGATTACAAAATCAAGGCAGTCACTTTCAAACGCTGGATGCCGTTTGTTTGTTCTACATCTCTGAGCTTGATAAACAGACCAACCTCCCTTATTGACTGACATGCTTTATTAGTTTCAATTCTGTTATGCTTCTGGAGTAACATTCAGTTTAATCACCAGTTATCTACAGTGGCACACACAACAGCACAATAGCATCCTCTGAGTTTATGTGCAATTATAAGGAGCCCATTTTCTTGCTGTTCAGCTGGAGAACAAAAGAAAACTGAGCACTTAGATATTTGGTTCAGGGGACTCAACAATAATAAAAATGCAAAAACACAAGCTGCTGTGCTTTGCTGCTGATATGGAAATGCTTCCCATTAACTGCAGTTCCCATTCAGCATCTCTGGGGAGAACAAAGGATAATCAAACCTTATGCAGCGCTGTTAACTTCAAGCCTCTGAACCAAGGCAAACCTTAAGCCTATAAAGCTGTGGCGTGTCCGAGTGGAAGCCCACTGCGAAAACAAATATTGAGGATAATTTTGTTGCTCAATATTATGCGATCAAGCCCCCACCCTCCAGCAATCTTTCATATGAAATCAAATTTGCGCTCTGATTAAATTTCCTGCATGTTTTCTCATTTGCATAATCACAAACAGAGCTCTAATGGCTGTGAATGAAAACACATGGTAATCTTTGGGTCTAAGGCAAAAAAAAAAGAGTCTGTATGGTGTGACAACAAAGGTAAAAATAACGCAGGTTGCAAATGCACGAACCATTTTCATACTGAGTGATTCAGCATTCATCTTCATTACAGCAATCAATATGGCAAAATGGATTTTTCAGCAATTCCTGCAAACCCATTATGTATTGTTTCAGTGATCAATATCTGGCTCTGTAAACATGGAGATGGAAGGGGTGGTTGTTACATGAAAAGAGTATTACTGAGGCCTTTTGGTGATGCAGAGGCCTGGATTATCAGCTTAAAAAGAGTTGGAGGGAATATCCACTTCTAAAGTATCTTTGAGCAAGGCATTGTAATGATTTGTCTACGGCAGCTGCCTCTAGCAGCAGTGTAGGAATATGCAGAGAAGCTTCCCCCGTGTGTGTGTGTGTGCTTTGTGTAATCCTCCCCCATGAATCCACTTTTCAAGGCCACTGCTGAAACTTGCTTCACAAAACAAGCAATAGACAACAAAGGATAAGCCACATTGCACAGAAATATGTGTTCTCTGATTCAGCCTGCAAAATTACAGACATTATATCTGATGTTAATGATTCAAAACATGCCCCAGTGACACATTTAATTATTACTGGCTATATGAGCAGACGCAATAAGGCTGAAAAAAAAAAGAAAAAGGATGAGATTTCCTTTCCTCGTGTATTCCGCGAAACTATCAATCATTCATTTACCGCATAAAACATGAGCAGTTTTTTTCATGACAAATCTTGTTCTGTTTGCCAAAATAAAGGCCTGGATTACAGCACAGAACAGTCATAATCATAATGCATGAAGCATCAGTGGGAGATAAGCTGTACAAGATGGTATAAATCAGACATTATCATACTCCTAACTTCAGCAAAATGCTTGTCTGAGCTGATTTGCATTGCACGGTGCATCCAAAGCCAAAACAGCGAAAGAATCTTGACGTGTGTCTCATGTTGCTAATGAGCCCATGCAGGAAATATGATCTGATCATTAAAAACAAAATGTCCACCTCAGACAGCCACCACTTTTCCTGATGATCCATGTTTTTCTCCCCGTCAAGCGAAAAACACTTACACAACAATCACTTAGTCAGTGTGATTCCTAAATCGATTTACAGCCACAGCCACCCTGCTGATGTTGTGCATCATTCCACTGCTAATCTCACTTCCTTGTCCAATATACTCATGCAACCTTGAGGCGGCCACAGAATTAGCTTTAGTTAATGGATGAGTATTAATCCCTCTTAGTCACAACAAAATTAAGAAATAATGTAGCCATGAATATTTCAGTTACACTGCAGCAACACAGGAATCTGCTCGTGCAATCTGCCCTGGCTTGCAAAAAAAGAATTGGCGATTAAATACATTATTAATGCTTCATAATAAAATTCATATTTTGCACCAGCTGAATGGGAGCTCTGGAGTGAAAATCCAATGAGCAGTCAATACTATTTCAACCGAACTTGCTGAACACATAGAACAGAGAGAAATGGCCTCTGAAATACCGCAGCTCATTGAGCCACGCTTTTGTTCTGCTTTTATCACTCTGTCTCTGAAGGTAGCGCATTCTTATTATATCCCTTAAAAATAGATGTGAACCTTCCAAGTCAATGAGTTCCCGCAGCCTCCCCCTGGAAGTTTTAATTAGAACACCAGTCACTCGTGTTATCGTTGTTTCAAGAGGGCCGCTTCCACATTCCTTAGCTGCCCACTTCATCACAGGATCAGAGGCCCACAGTGAGCAGACTGTTTAGGACGGCTGCCTCATATTTCCTCTGGATTTTACCTCAAGATTTCGGAATCTGGGTCACTTCAGTTACTGATGGAATGAAAATGAGCTGCAGCTTGATTGGCAGAATTATTGCGGAGATATATTATAAATTTAGAGTCTCATAACAAGCCCTTGGTAATGAAAAGTGCAAAGACACACTGCGAGTATTAGATTATACGTATCCCACTACATGTAATGAGCTTTGCAGATAACAAGGATTGACTGGAAGATCCCTCTTACGCTTTCTATAAAGTGCTTTAGGGTGCTAAAAAAAAAAAAACCCAAAACATCCCTGCACAGTGCTATTCTCTTAGATGAAATGATTTCCATGAACTAGATGAACTGATATCACACCTCAAGCCAAAACAACTTAATAAAACATGAAAACATGTTCGCTGCAGAACACATGAAACACAACCAATGTTTAGGATTGACTGAAAAAGGTTAGTTCACCTAACGTACAGAAAAAGAGGAAAGGATTTCTGTAGTCATACCAATACAGTGGAGGTAAAGTCAATCAATCAACAAAAACATCAGCAGCTACTTTTGGGAACGACTTTTTATCAAGAACTTTTTTATAATGACTTTCTTTTCATTGCACTCTTGTAATACCAAAAACTAAAGATGATTCATTTCCATTGTATATTGTAATGTCAGAGGTGGATCTATCACAAACTGTGGACAAATAAAAGCAGACAGACTGTATTTACAGCTATATTGTACACTTTTCTATGCTATATAGTGTTAAAACTGTCAAACACATAATGTTGTTTATATTATTTTGCTTTCAAAATGTAAAAATATTGAGAACATTAATGCAGCTGGGGTTTGTGCACATCTTTAGTCTCTCTCCCTGAACGTCCCTTGCTGCCTGAGTGGAATCAGAATATAATCATGACATCTGGTTATAGTGGAACATAATTGGTGACTTTCATCTTCCAGCCAGTGGCCATCATTACTGTATTCTCTGGGACTGTCATTCATTCCAGGGGAAGGAAAGAAGGGGAGAGAGGGGTCTCCGGTTCATATGAAGTGACCTGTAATTGCATGATGCTGCCCCCTGTTGAAACACTGATCTGCATGTTGTGTTGACATCGTGACTGTGTGGAGAGGTGGTGTTTTTGTGGATTTTATGGAGAATCGAAGGACTTAAAGAATGTGTCGACACAAGAGGAATTTTGTGTTGCATAATGTCCATGCATTTTTTTTTTTACATTTACAGTAATGCAGGTAAACAATCTTTGATTTAGAAAAGGTTGCACAATTTCTGCAGATCTTATTTTTTAAACTTTTTATCATGCCCTTCCCAGAATATAAGTCTTTGTATAGCCTATAGGCAAATCTCATCCTTTGTGTTAAACTCAGTTTGGCTGGTAGAGTGTGCTGTGATAAAGGAAAGATACATTATTGTGCAAAAGGGCCAGAAAACCTCACATTAATTAACCTCCTGTCAAGTGAGCTGGAGATCACTCCATGCAAATGAGTGTGTCCAGTAACTGTAAAGCTCTTCAGCGTAACCAAACACAGACACATGAGTGTTTGGCTAATAGGTGTGCTTTCTATTGATTCAGTCTCACATAATAGGATGCACCAGCACAGATTATTTCTCCCATGACACTAAGAGGATAGCTTCTGCAGGGGAACAAAGGGCCATTGCTGTTGGCACACAAGGAGTTAAGGTGTGTGAACGCCCGAGTTGGCGTTGATGGCATCCGCGCACAATGATTAACGATATTGATTAACGAAACATGCGGAATTGTGATGTTTTAGTAGGTTACCAAGAGGGGACGAAGAGCCAAGACGCAGTAATTGATTGGTACCCGCGCTGAAATAATGTAATTAAGTACAGTGAGGCTTTGTGAGCGAAATTATTTCTCCGCGCACTTGTCCAAATCATTAACTATTAACAACCTTTTCTCATGAAAGTGCCCGAATCTCTAAACGCCAGAATGGTGATTGATGTCGACAAAGCGCCTGCCCGCAAGAAAACAAATCTGTCCAAATGTGGCTTTGAAGAAAGGGAGCTTGCTTTCGACCCGATCAGAAACTTGGTTTTGAAGGGAGAGCGCCCCGCCCTCCTGGTCCTTATAACCAGAAAGCCTGTTTGCAGGACGCTCAAACATAACAGGAACACTGGAGACCACATCGCTGTACATGATCCATTCCTGGAGGCGAACTCTGGCTACAAAGACATTACGGATTACACTGGCTGTTTCGCCTTTTGACGGCAAGCAAACGACCAGAAGTGGCCATGGATTTTCTCAATCACAACTATTTGAACGCGCGCAGCCCATATGACTATACTTTTAATTTCTGGAACGACTATCTCGGGCTGACGACGTTGGTTACGAAGAATAATAAGCTCAGCATGCCCCAGAATCCCAACTCCATCACCGAGTCCCTGAAAGCGACCCTGGGCTTGGACGATTCTCCTGCGTGTCCGTGCGTAATCGCGGGCGGCGTCGGAGAGAGCGGGCACCTGGACTGCTGCTGCCCGTCCGGGAGCCCCCCGCCGGCCTCCATCCTGGACTTGAAAGAGCGCTTCTCGATACTGAGCCCCTTCCAAAACCAGCTCGGCGTCCAGCTGCCTGAGCGAGAGGTGGGCTTTGGTGGGAGCTTCGCGGGGCTCGATCTGTTCGGCATGGAGAGGAAGATGCGCAAACCCGCTTCCAGGAGCAAACAGGAGCCCAAAATCTGCGTCTTCTGCCGAAATAACGGAGCGCCCGAGGAGGTGTACGGCTCCCACGTCCTGAAGACTCCGGACGGCAGGGTTGTGTGCCCGATTCTGAGGGCTTATACCTGCCCCCTTTGCAGTGCCAATGGGGACAATGCCCATACGATAAAATACTGTCCACTGTCAAAAGACCAGCCATCCCAGCGACCATTAAAGGGGGGGAGGGCTGTGGGTGGTAAGAGGATGAAAATATTTTAACCAGACAAGACTATAAAGTAAATTGAATTGCACTGAACAATTTCCAGATGACTGTTTTGATTTCGGCTCTAGCCTTTATCCCAGTTTCATAAACATATTGATTTTATCTTTTTTGTTTTTTCTCTCTCTCTCTAAGATCTCTTATATTTTTATAGTTCCTTTATCCACATAGAATAATTTTATGCTTTATACATTGAATTTATTTTTCTTTCTAGTTTGTAGTCATTTGAACGTGTGCATATAAATACACATATGTATCAATAATCACAAAGTGTGAATAAATTTTAAGAAAAAAAAAAAGTATTTTGGTCATGTAGGGAAACACACTGACATTGGCAAAGGGGATGAATGTCATAGCCTATTTCTATCAAGTATTTTTGTACGGTGAGCTAAGCTCGCTTCGATTTTCTTTCACGTCTTAGAAAACCAAAGTTATGTTTGCCATTAAAGAAGCTCAAGAATGTGTCATTAATGAATACTTGTGTGCGTCTGACTGGAGGAGGAACTCTTTGATCCCATCTGCCTGCCGAAAAAGCTCCACAACATATTTTCCAACTCGCTCTAAAAGTTGACATTCAATCTGCAAGGCAGGAAGAAAAAAAAAAAAAAAAAAAAAAAAAAAAAAAAAAAAAAGACAATGTGGCCTCTGTTTAGGGCGCATATTCTCTGGGGAACATTATAATCAATTGTTGCCATGCCAAACCTCTGTTCCAACCCTATGTGATGAGAAAGTTATCTGACTTTACAAGCAGTCAGAAATGAGAGAGCATCGTACATTTTTTTTATGTTTACATTCCCAAATAAGGGTGACACACTGGATTTCTTTTCTCTGTCAGGTTTCTCTTTCTTAACGGTGTTTTTTTTCTTTTCTTTTCTTTTCTTTGTTTTGTTTTGCCCTGACGATGTATTCACCAGAGAGTCTCATGGGCAGGTCTCCTCTGCAGTATGAAGCTGAGTGAGTCCCATTTACCTTTCACCCTGTGCGGGGGTGACGAATAGCAAATGAATGTTAGTGAACAACAACATGTTATCCCGTTATTTCCTTTTCTGAAGAATCCCAAAAAGATGCAAAAATGTTGTGAATGTATGATTGAAAGTGTCACTTGCAGGACTGCACATTTCTGACAGTTTTGTTTACCAAAGGAATACAATTACATTGAAGAAAGAAGAAAGATTTGCTGTATTGTATATAAGGTGATGTTTATTCAGTATTTTAACATTACAAGTGACTTCAGAGGGCGCTACCTCAACAGGATTTTGTACTTACATGTAAAATGTCAACAGCAGTTTATTGATATAGTGCTGCCATTTATAATAAGGGTTTTGATAGTATTTTTGATCTTTGTATAACATAATTGTATTTTCATTTTGTTGCATTTAACATTATGGAAGTAAGTTTCCAAGAAGCTATAAGCATTGCTCACCAAAAGGTGAATGTCTGTAAATAGTGATTATACCCATACTTTTTAAAGTTTAGTTGTTCAATGTTGCATTCTTGAGAGTGTGCAAGAGAGTGGATATTGAAAAAGGCTTACAAAAAATTTGCCACTTTTAACAGAGGTTTTTTGATTAAATGAATAAGAGAAAAAGAAACACTGTTGAACTTTGTTATTTATATTTTACCACGATTTCCTGTATGCTGCTGTGCAGAATAACAACATATGAATTCACTAGAGAAATAAAAGCGTATCAAATATTTGGAGCATGTGGTGTTCTGTAGTTGGTTTACTCAGTGTCTGACTGACAGGCTATATAAACTCTTTTCCAAACAAAAAAGTTTTGTAAGAGTCTCAGATTACTGTTTTACAGACTGATTTAGTGATTTTCAAACTGCCTGATTAAATCAAGCAGGAGAGTCGACTAAAAACAAAGAAATGGCTTAGCTTTCCCATAATTGGCCTCCTTGCTCACTGCCTCACTGACAAACTAACACAGAAACTGTGTGAGGACCGTGTACGCAGAGTCTATTTGAAGGAGAAAAAAACTTCCCCTTAACCTTTGCTTTAGGACAAACTAATACTAATCTGTTGCTCTCATATCTTAAAGATTTGTCTCCGAAGGACAAACACAGTGCCATGGTTGTTCGCGGTTGTTTAGGGAGGTCTGCCCACACAAGAATGTCTTGGCTTATGCCTCGCCATTCAAACAGATCATGTTTGCACTGAAGTGGATTGAATAGCTGGCCCTCCCGGCCTTCTCCGCCTGCCATCTGTGGAATGGCTGCTGCAGACATATTATGGGGCTCAAAAACAGGCAGGAAGCTTTGCTGCTGCTTCTTGTTTTTTGGAATAAAGTCAGAGCTGTACACAGTTGTGCAGCTGTGAGTGCTTATGGCTCGCTGCAGCAGCTTGGTTTGTTACAAATCCCCCGTAAATGAGGAAAATAATAAATAGAGTAAAACCATGATGAGCTCATGAATGGCCTCAGTGTCTGCGGTCGTCCTCGCCAGCAAAACAGCCTCAGACGTTCATAATTGCAGCTGATGCTTAGCATACAGTGCAAAGACACATCAAAACGACTGTACATACATTAGCCTGAAGCATGCGGCTGGTGTGATCCACACCTTCTCAGTTCCTCCTTCCCTCCCTGCTCTCCCTCCCTACTCTCCCTCCTCTGTCTTCATGGATCTCTCCAGCTGAGGCTGTGGCATTAAAAATGGATGACTACTAAGTGCAACAGGGATTTATCTCTGTGAGAACAGTGGTGAAAAAGCCTGGCGGGCTAGCATTTCAGGCAAACACAGTCAGCTAACAGGTCTTATTCCCACTACGCCACAGCCTCCATTAGCCCCTCTGCAGACAGGGCCCATATAATCAAGTTAGTTGCACCATTTATGAGATATGTATCTTTCATGATCATATAATATGTCTTAGCTGGCTGGTTTTCATGCAATATACAATTTGTGTGCACAACAAATTTCTCTGCAGAGCTTGATGGCTAAAGCAAGACAGGATTTTTCTGGAGACAAGATGCAGCAACGTTCTGCCACTGACTGCATGTCCTTCTCATAAAACTGAGAGATGAGGGAGGAAAATATTTTAATTAAAGGGCAGCATTATCAGTCAGGTGTTGACTGGGAGTACCTATCGCTAAGAATGAGGCAACTGGATCCCCTCTGGCAGGTGATTAAGATTTAGCTAATGCTCTGCAGCAGTAGTTAGTCTTTGCTGTTAATGAGATTTAGAAGATTCATTAAATCATAGTGCTCCTCATCATTGTGGCTTCATGGAACCTCTCCCTGGTTAAAGTGTTGTAGTTTCTTGCAGATCCAAGGTTTCCAATCTTTTTGTCCAATGTACCATCACAGTCCTTTTAGATGGGCCTAGATGCTCCTTCATCGGGCCCATGTGATAGATGGGATGGCTGAATGGAACTGCTTGATAGTATTTCACTGCAAAGAAAACACGTTGGCTGTGGCCAGTCCACAGCTGCACCAGTGAAAATAAAGTTATCCAGGTGTTGTTAATGGTTAGGCAAATCTCTTCTGTCGTTTTTACAGCTTTTAGGTTTCTATTAGCTTTTTGTTGACCTGTTTTGTTGCAATCGGAATTAAAACACCTGGAATTAAGGATAGCATGAACATTTGGATATCGTTTTTTCAACAAAGTAACTACAGAGGTACAAGTGACCCTAGTTGGAGTCTGGTTGTAATTTTGTTTTTGACCTGTTAGTGACCTCAGGTGTCAAATTTTAGATTTAATGACTTTTTTAAAAAAAACATTTCTCATGCTGCCAGTCCTGTGACATGTTGTAGTAATCCATGTGTTTGCTCTATGCTCTCATAGTACACTATTTTGCCATCTGAAATGTAAAAAAAAATTTAACAACTGACCACTTCAAGATAACTCCTCTTCCTCATTGTCTCAGATAATAATGTTGAGTTTACATTATACATTACAGATCAAAAATCTTTTGAAAGTAATGATTTGTTTTAAAATATTCTTGAATTATCTCTCTAAAAAATGGCATTAGAATGTGATAGAAAATCTCCTTAATTCACAGACTGAATTTACCTTTCCGTGAGGTAATAACGCTGGAACATTCAAACCCAGTCTGTCTGAGTGTCCAGGCAGGACAAAGCAAATACTGAAATGACTTGGCTAAATAACCTAATGGCCCATTTGAATAGCATTCATTGCATTCATTGACCCACAACAGTATGGAGGGCTGATATTAGGTTAAACATCTGCAGAATCCATTTGTGGGTACTGTCATTTTCCAGAATACACTTGCAATAAGGATGCCCCTGTCGCCTAGCAACTCCTGGAGATAAAATTGAACAGCAACTGAGCATGAAAGTCATTCCACAGAGTGAGGTAAAGAGGATACCACCTTTAGCCTTCATGCTAGATGGTTTATTGGTGATTTGGTGCCATTTTGGTTTTAAAATTGGAAGAAAATCCCTTCAATGGTTTAGGGCATTAATATATGTTTAACACATTACTGCCCCCTGTGGTGATGAAAGGCATTACAAAAATATGCATACCTGTTTTGTTATTCAAAGCCACCAGCGTGGAAGGAATCATAATGACGAGTATGGTGTAATTGAACTCTCTGTCAGCATCGCTGCATTGACCATTTGGTGGACTCTGCGATAACAGCTCTGTCCCTCTGAGGGCAGATTACAGCTTTGAGGCTGTAATTGAAATTTCACAAAGGATTTATTTGAAATCAAAACTCGTTGCTGTTTAAGTGAGGCGGACAGGTTATTAAGTTTCTTTCACAGCATGATCAGCTTATTTCTCAGTGCCTGTTTCACTGGTGCAGATGTACTGTCAGTTGAAATAATCCTCCAAGTCACTGGTGCGTGGATCTGCACAGCAAAAGGACGTTAAATCATTTATTATCAACATTTATTCAGTGGGTGTTAGATTTTTGTTTTTTTTAAGAAATGTGTTTTCTTTAAAAAATTGTCCTGCTTTTGAAAGAAATCCTTGTCTGTCTGGCTTCAGTCACAGCCCGGCTCTGGGTGCTCTCCGCTGGCATATGGGCATATTCTTAGACAGTCAAACAGAAACCAAACAAGACAGCAGGAGACTTGTTTTGTCTTATATCTGTGCCTCTTGGTATTTATAAATAGTTTCTAGAATCAAGAATCCAATTTCCTCCAGACGTCGTCTTTCCCCAACAATGCGGTGTTATGTGGGTAACAGCTTTTTGCTGGCTGTGATGATGAATCCAAGTGAAAGGAAGCCACTGGAAACAATCAATTATTTATTATATTTACTAAAAGCGTCCTGATTTAAAATAGGCTCTCTGCTGCCATTCATTCCCCACATTGTGATCCCTAAACTGCAACACAGCGGCTGTGGTCTTGTGTTGCCATTCAGCTTGTTCCAGTGTTATGTGCGGCTCCATCCCGCTAAGCCCCCTATCAGCAGAGATAATCAAAGCTACTTAACATGACAAAAGGCACAGCCGTGTTGTCACAGCTTATCAATAAATTATCTGATAAAAACATACAATTTCACCCAATTCAAATAATGTTTTTTTTTTCTTCTTAGGCCTATAAAAATATCCTTTTTTTTTTCTTTTTACTTTGTCCTTCAGATAGGATTTATCCAGATTTCATCAACAGCTTAAGCGTGCAGTATTGATGGCATAATAGTGTTTTGTTATTTGTTCTCTGCGGAGCTCAGTGCTGTCATTATACCACTTCAGAGTCGTTGAATTCAGCTCATGTCTGGATGTCTTCTTCTAAGCATGAAAGTGTAATGCAGTTGTTTCCAGTGAACAACACACATGGCAGATTTGTGTAGTTTATGTAATTTTCATATAGGATGCTCGCTTTGTTTTTGTTTCAGCTGCCTGTTCAACATCTGCCACGGACAGCAGATAAAAATTCACCGTTCATATTAACACATTTTTTTAGTTTGTTGATGAAGGTAAACAAAATGAAATAAATAATATCCATATAATAAACATATTCTGGCCATAGGATCTGTGCCTATACAATAAATATGTGCAGAGCCCGATGAGCAGAGCAATAACAGACCAAAGACCGTTCTACCATTCATCACACCTCCAGTGCTTTTTTTTTTTTAATAGACAGAGGAGATCATTGAGGAAAAACATTTTAATTAAAGGGCAGCGTTATCAGTCAGGTGGTGACTGTGAGCACTTATCACCAAGCATAAAGAAACTGGATCCCCTCCGGTAGGTGATAAAGACTCATCTAATACCCTGCAGCATTTGCTGTTAATATGACTTAGAGAATACATTAACTCAGACGGCACCCACATCATGGTTGCTACACGCAGTATTTACTGTTTAAACAGATTTACTCTTCGGCAGTGTTACTATGCTGAGATGGTCCATTTACATAGCATGCTTCAGTTTCATTGACCCATAAGATAACAATGTTGAAGGCAGATAATAAGTTACAGAGAATTCATTTATTGGTCCCATCATTTCCCAGAATACACTTGCAATGAGGATGTTCCTGTCGCCTAGCAACTCCTGGAGATAAAATTGGACAGCAGCCAAGCATGAAAGTCATTCCATAGAGCGAGGTAAAGAGGATACCATCTTTAGCCTTCAATTACGGCCTACTGGTGATTCGGTGCCACTCATCTGCCCAAAATTAGGAGAAGAGTTGACGTGCCAGTAAATGTTATTTAGAGAGCAATAATGAAGACCTACACTTGAAAAGCATGCAGGTGATGGATTCCCTCTGTTATATAAACTGACCTAAGTGATCGCGAG